AGATCAAAGACTATGAGGACACTTCAGGTGAGGTGCCACCTGCCTATCAGCCTCCCAAGACAAGACAGATTATCTTCCAAAGCTTAGAGCAATTTTTTCAGTTATGAAAATGAGGATCAGACTGCATCATCGCAAATATCCAGACACTGGATAACTAATGTATAGTTGAATATATAACATGGCCTTCTAATTTGCCAAAACAATAAAGTCTCTTACACAAAGCAACAATTAAAAGAAAAACAAAATTATATCCTCTTCCAGCTACCACAGAAGTCATAGAAGGCATTCAGTTTCTTAACCTATAAAATACCCTTTGCAAAAAATCAAGTGGGTTAACAAATACTTGATTAGCTATCTGCCCAGTGGGACCCCATTATGCCATACAATGAAGAAGTAGTTTGAAGCATTTCACACAGAAAGGAAAAGCAAAACAAATCTTCAGGAGAAATCTTAAACAAAAACATTTCAGATGAAAACAGCATTGACTATAATGATAAAAATGAAGTAGAACATTCTAGATTAAACTCTTGGTGAAAGCATTTAGTCAATGCTTTGTGTCTGAAACTCCCCTGCAGAGTGTTTCATGACAACAAATGTACAACTGATCAAACATAAGAGTTAAGTCAGGCCATGGTCTTTGTAGGCACTCTAGTGATGTTGGCCCCAGCTGCTGTTTCAAATCTTTCTGTTTCAAATCTTTCAGAGGTATATCAAACTGAGGTCCATGGTCAAGCTTTACGGAATGGAATCCTAAACTAAAACAACCAGCAAACATTTAAGATTTAGTTGCTTTTTTTAAAGGATCCTAGTTTCCCTTGCTGCCTCAAAGGCATCTGTGATATCTATGACCTTCCCCAAAAGGCTGCTAGGCTAGGGCTAATATAAAACCATCTGCCACTTTTTCTTAAAGAAATTCCTTCAAAAAAAAAAAAAGAAAAAGAAAAAGAAATTCCTTCAAATGCATTTACAAACATTAATGGAAATTACTTAGAAAGAAGAGTTTATAGCAAAACAAACAGAACTGGTATCAAGTTTCTTCCATGTACCATGAGACTTCTAGATCATATTATCATAATTAAAAAAAATAAAGCTTAAGTTTACATTTTGTGAAAAGAGTTCTGAAAGGCAGCAAAGAAATTATGTCAGCATGTTATTGAGCAAATTTAGAAGGAAAAATAACAGTCTGTTTCTCAACCTTAGATAAGGTACTTTTAGTCATCTAACATAATTTCTCATCGTCCAAATGTCTGGTAGCATTAGTCCTGATTCAGATAATTAAATGCTATCTTGTTTTCTATTCTAATGTTATGTTTTAGGAGTAAAAATCTCCTGTGAGACCCACTCTCCTCTTCACAGTGGGGAGGGATGTGATCGAGGGCTCAATTTGGGCATTCCTTGCCCTCTGGACAAATACTGACAAAGCCCCTAACATATTTAAGATAATTACATCAAAGGTCGCCTGACTGATTCCTTCCCATAGTGAGATACCAGAAATCCCATGGCCGCAAGCTTTGTTTGACAGACTCTGCCTCTCTCTTTCCCCTAAGGCACTAAAGAATTAATTTAAACTCTAAATAAAACACTTAGAGACCTTGATGGGCAATGACACAGAAAGACTACATATTTCACTGCCTCTAATGAATTAGCTACTTGATTGTGCACATACAAGATACCTATCATTGGTGATCACATAGACTTTGGCCTGATTTGGACCAACTCTCAGGGACTACTCAAAGTCCCCCAGCTACACTGTGTCACTGCCCCCAGAGCAGCCTGCAGCTCAAGGCAGAAACTCCTACTGGGCCATCAGCATCAAGTCCAAGAGTTTATGCACAGAACGGCACGTGGGGACCACACTGGAGCAATATGCACTTTGAAAAGCAGCAACTTTAATGGCTGTGAAAAACATCATTCACGTGGAATTTCAGAGGTAAATGTATCCATGTAAGTATCAGGCATGTGGTATTTAGAATGTTTTATCATGGAGAAAGTAAAAAAAAAAACAAAAAAAAAACCTAGAATATTAACGGAAAAGAAAGCAAACACAAACTGCCCTCTGAGAAAGAAGTGGGCCAGGGTCAGTGTCATTTGAGTTATTCTTAATCCCATACCTTTTGTTGCACATGACTGAAGTTCTGAAGTATTTTAGAATACAAGCTGCTTTTTAAAAAAGGTCTATTTGCTCTGGTAGGTCACATTACAGACCAGAGACCACAGATTTATTTCAAGTTCAATTTCTTGGTTTTCAAAATCACAAACTTAATTGCAAACACTCTTTCATAACTCCAAAATGGAGATATATATCACATTGCTAAGTAATCTTTAGTTCCCAACATTATAAGGTTTGAATTTTGTAGTTTAAGCCAGCAAATAGAGATACTGCCCAATTTGAAAACGACCGTCTGACAACTCAAGGAAGATGCCTTGGTCAGAATACACATGTAACCGAGCAGATAATGCGTCAGAAAGGCAGGCCAAGGCTGAGCTCTCCTTTTCCCAAGAAACTTCCCCTCTTGATCTCCACCTCCCCGCCCACCTCCTTCTGGGTCTGGGCTCAGACATTTCCCAGACTATGCTCTGCTTCTGGACGCGAGACACAGGCAGGCAGAGAACTGGGACGGAGTCAAGTCCCACCACACGTTTTATGAATTACAGTGCCTGGGAGGCATCAGCTTTAAGGAGAGGCAAAGGCAGAGATAAAGAAAATGTGCAGAAAGTACATAAAGATAAATGCCTGTAAAATCACTGTTGTTTTAATGCATTCCATATTGAGGAAATAAAAACGTGAATATTCTTGATGATTTAATGGCAATAACGTCCAGCTAAGTAAGACCTGTTTGTCCAACTGGACAATTATGTTATTTTATGCAAATATTTATAGTAGCTGATCCTGATTTTCAACTACAGTTCTGAAGGGCTGGTTTAGTGAAGAAAAATGCCTTCAAAATGTGGGTCACATCACTTTCTCTCCTGAAAGCTAGTAAAGATGAAGCAGATCTCCCATGGGCCAACAGCCATGCCTCTCAGCCAGCTATGTGACTGTTGAGTGCTACTGGACTAGCTTCTTCCTTCTGGCCCATTCTTGGATGGAACTGTTCTCAGTCACTCATCCGTCAGTGCTGAGTTCAAATCCTGACTTTGACTGTTATAACTCCACAAACTTGAGGAAGTCACTTAATTCACAAAATGCTTTCTCATCTATAAAGTAATGACAATGAGACTTCCTGTGTTGTGGGCAGGATTAAATGTTATACAGTATTTGCAGGTCAAGTGCCTAGCACAGTAACTGGTACACTGTGAGCATAAAAATATATATCGCCTATTATGATTATAATTACTATTAGAAATATTATCTAGGGCATCTTCTTTATGGCTCACTTCTCAAAGAAGTGGACTAAGAATCAGGAAACCTATATTATACTTTTCTCTTTTTCTGACCACAGGACCAATCTTTCATTCAGTCTTTCAGAGTCTCAATTTTCTCAGCAATAAGAAAGACATGACCATAACTTCCCTGTGATTTCAAACTATCTTTTTGAGAAAAAGGTTTGGTCCTAAAATACAGTTCCAAAATAGACATCTAGATACATCTAAATTAATATTATTTTTAATAATCAGTAGGCTGGCAGAATACTTGTGCACTTTGAAATTCAAATGAAGCCCATGGGATTTTAATGTATACTCTTACCAGAAAAGAAGTCTTGATATAATTTCTAAAATGGGTCATACTGGACAAAAATCAGATTACCATCAAACTAATACTAAGATTTTTAAATGAAATATGTTTTGGAGTTTTGGTATATTACACATTAAATTTTAAAATGTTGAAATTTTATTAAGAATTAACCCATCCACTTAATTCAGAGCTAGATAACATTGAGAATCTGTTTTAGCATTCAGGTGTTCACAATGATATAACCGCCTCACCTTACACCAGGACTTGGTACCTGCAAAATGTGATACATTTTAATAGGTTGTTAGAGATTTACTTCTAAGAAGATTCAAAGTCATAAAGATGGCATGAAGCAGAAGCAAAACCTGAACCCAGCTCTTTCTGTCACCTAAGATCATGATCTGTCTAAATACAAGGTCATAGAGAGCTATTCTGCATATGTCTTGAGGTCCTTTAGGGCCTCACAAGTGTCTTGATCAGAGCTGGCAAACATTCACTGATTTATTCAAAATCTGCTGATCTCTTCCATATGGACTGAATCTAGGAAAGACAAAATCTGCCTTACTGCTGAACCAATGAGCAATGTTCGGAAGTAATGGAGTTACATAAGGTTATTCAGAAATTCTTTCCTTACATGAAATATAGGAGAAAGCATTGATAGAAAGCTTAATTTTAGAGTTCATACTATACATAAATACAATAGATTTATCTGAAAATATAATTACTCTGGAATCCTGGTATAATCCTCTTTGTTTTTAGACAGAATTTGCTATCAACTCAGCCTGCTGAGACCTTATTTAAACATATTTATTTACCACATGGCATAAGGTCCTCTTAAAAGATAAGTTCCAAGATGAATTTGCTGTGGTGTGCTAAAAGATATCCAAAGGATATGAGCTTCTTTCTATTTCCCCCATCTTGAAAGAACTCCCAACTATAGTCTTCCATATTCTATGCTTAAAACAAACTTAAATGACAAACACTTGTTTTTGATAAGAAAAAACTGAGGTTTCAGGTAGTCACAGCTTCAGTCTCTTACACACTTTGCTGGCCCAAAGGCTAGATTATGGATATCACTCAAGAAAGTTGATCATTATTTTTGCAAACACTGAAGAAGTATACAAGCCCTCAAAAGAAAACCCAAACAACTTCTGAGTATCTCACAGAAACACAACATCATCCCTACAAGGCCATGTTCCTCATAAGTAATCTGTTTCTTCCTTAAAATATGAATGTACATTCCAAATTTACCATACCCTGTGATGGACAACTAAGCAACTAATGTTCACTCACTGTTGACAATTTACAACATGACTACAAAGTTTACCTCTCAAGTTCTGCAATTTTCTTGTCCTTGTCATTCTTTTCATTCTCCACCTCCTTGAGGATCTCCAGCAACCGGTCAACTTCTGCTTGGGCCTTGCCACACTCATCACGGTAGTAAGACGCCTCTTTGTCAAGCTGTTTTATTCGGTCTGCAAATTCTGGGTTCATCCTGGAGTCATCTTCAATATTATGAGCCTTCAACATTATATTTTTAAAGAATGTAGTTAAGATAACAATTTAGAACAATAGACAGTACAGTCACCAATGGCCCAGAAATTAACTTTGGGGGGGGTGGGGGGGGAAACTATCAAGAATTATGGGTATACTGTCAGTTAAAAGACAAACTAGAAAAATCACAAATTTCAGCTATTTTTTAAAAATCTTGATTTTTTAAGGTGGGTTTCTTTTACTGTTGTTATTTTGTTTCATTAAATGATGCTATTTTTTGCTTTTCTTTCCCTTACAAGAAATGGGGGCTCGGTGGAGGTAGAGACAGTACTATGATTATTTCTGGTGTTTTGGCAAGGAACTAAGACAGTTCAGCTCCTCACAGTCAAGCAAGTGATTCATACCAACAGCTTCCTTTTCCAATACAGAGAAATTGAGATAAAGCAACATTAAATTATTTCTCCAAGAATCATCGAGGACATGTGTAAAGTCAGGTAACATATAAGAGACTGGATGACTGATCATTGAACATTTCATTCCACTGAGAAATTTCAGCAGAAAATGTAGAATGAAAGAAAGGCTTGAAAATGCAGAAGGCCTTTTCAGCTAACAGTCATACCCATACATTCTTGCTCTTTTGATTAAATTAACCTGAACCGGAAGGAGGATGAGCTAGTTCATGAACAAGCACACAGACAAGAATCCGCAAACACATGCATGAGAGGGGTAATGGTGGAGGGCAGCTTTACACACGAGAACAGACACAGGCAACAACACAGTAACAATACTGCAGAATAATTTGCAGCCAAAGTATTTGTGGTTTTGTGTGTGTGTGTCAGTGTGTTACGGCTTTTTTCTTTTTTTTCCCAAAATAAACTTTTGGCTGAAATATTCCCAGACAGGTGAAAATAACACTGCACTGCAATGTTTTGCCTACCCCTTGTTTCCCATTATTCCTAATTGACTTCTTCAAAGAGCAGGCAGGGAAAAAACAAGTAGTTTAACAACAGTGCACATTCAACACAGAAAGTTCAAAAAGGTCATATTTGTATATATCTCCAAAATCCATGTGTGAAATAATAAAATGTTAACAATTTATTAGGACTTAAATTGTCCTGCTGTCTTCCAGGTAAAACAGATGTCCATTGGATTTTTATACACTTTTTAAAAAAATTTTCAGGGAAAAAACAAGGCAAGCAAGCTACAACTACTGTGGGGTCAAATGAAACATGCATGGTTAGAAAAATTAAGACTAATAGTACTGTTAGAAGGTTGACAGTCTTTGCAATGATTTAGTAGAAAAAAATTCAAAAATTAGTATAAAGAAAAATAAGTTTCTTATTTATGACAAAATAATTATTTAAGGATTTTTTGCGTGTAACATATTATTTAAGCATGAGGATAGATGGGGAATAATTTGCTTTCATGTTCTTTAGTCTAAGATTTACTTATTCACAAATTCAACTATGCAGAAGAACTTGGAAAAAATATATCAATTCAACACAGTATCAGACAGCTTTTTTATCCACATTTTTCAGAAAACATTAATTTTTAATTATTTAGTATGTACACTGAGTTTCATTATAATAGAATACAATAGAACTACTGAGTTTTTTTCATTATAATTGAAATAATTTGAAAGAGAATCCTGAGCTAACATGCCTTTACGAGTTTATTCATCTAATAATTTTATTTTCAATTAAGATGAATATCAAAATCTGTTAATCTCTTATCAAAACTGTAGATACTCATTTTTAAAACAAAATACTTCATATAACTACTTCTATTTGTGATACTACTAATCAACTCATTACTCTTTTAATAGAAAAGCATTTAAAATACACAGTTTTTAGATGATAAGAGAAAGAAAAAATATTTTATGTTAATTCTCTCTCCTTTAGACTCTGATACCATTACTCTATGGCAGCTAAAAACCTTTCCATGGCCGTTTGCTCACACTACTCAACCAGTGACATTCCAAAAAGAATGAACTAAGTAATGACCAGCTACGAGCACTCAAAATAAATGAATAAATGTCTTAATAGCTTATTTCTGATGAGTGAAAATTCCTTTCACAACTCAGATATGAAGATTCACAAAAAACTAGCAGTTAGTTGCTGTGGTTTATTTTGGTTGCTTTTATTCCTAAGATAATTATTATCATGATTTTTAATAGAGGGGTACAGGATTTCTAGTTGTAAGACCTAGATTCTAAATCCAGCTTTGTGTCTTATGACTATGGACAAATGAAATAAGCCTCTCTAAGGACAGTGAAAACTAGAAAATGACAAACATGGGGGAGGTATTATTCATTTGGGGTTTTATTGTGATTATTATTTCATAATATGTATCCCATCAGTGGGGCTTGCTATATGCCAAGTTGATGTTTGTTTAATTTTCCATAGACAAGGTACTACATGCACCTTAGAGAAGCCTCCCTACTAAGTTTTCAGAAAAAGCAGTGTGCTCATGACAGGTATGTGAGTACATTTCTTAATTTAGCTGCTTGAAGAGAAGATGATAAACCCAAGTAAGTTTTCAGCATAGGGAGAAATTAGACAGATTGCTAGTCTTTAAACCTAGCAAGTGAGTGTGGTTAAGGGACTTGTGGAACATTTCAAGGTAAAGAAGACCTAGAAAAAAACAATCTTGAATCTACACTTGTTGATGTCGTGTGATGCCACATCTAGGTCATGTTATTAAAATAAAGACCACAGCCAAGTTTACAGCTGGCCTGCTGTCTGTTATGAATTTGTAGGTGCTAATGGTTCTTTCTTTTAAAAGGAACAGACAACCTGAAGAACACTTTTCAATTAAATACAACTATTTATCTTCATATCAATATCTACTGACTTCTGGGCAAAAGAGGTTATGTCAAAGCACATTTGACATTGGTGCCAGAATTCTTGACAAGGATATTAAATAAAGCTGTAGATAGATGTGATCTGAAAAATATTTAAGTCAATACAAAGCTGTAAGAAAGAGTCATACAGAGATAGAAGGGTGGCAAGCTGATTTGGGGTATTCACTAGGGTGCTTGTGAAAACCCAAGAGAAGACAGTTTCACATGACCTAGAGACTGGCAAGTCCTGATCCAACCTAAGCAGTGGAGGCAGAAGTCTTCCATAGAATTTAACCAGCTGTACTCAGCACGAATCACAACTTTGCAGAGGATGGGCTGAAACTGTTAACTAGTATAGCATGAGTGTCTTATACTGTGATATATATACATGGGGGGGAATTAAAGAAAAACATGAGGAAATTGAGTTTAGAAAGTCAGTGTTTGTCCAAAATTATAAGGCCAGAGCCTCCTCTTAAAAAAGAGAGAAGGAAGCACTTTCTTTGCATTTAGGGAGTACTCTTGCCTTTTCAAACTAAAACATGGGTTTTTTTTTAATCTGGACAGGAAGCTTCTGATGCGGGTCAAAAGTAGATAAGATGTTTGGGCCTAATGTACTTTAGGCACTGCAAAAATATAATATATTTGAATAAATCATTACCTGGACGATCCCTACCATGGCATTCTGACCCATTCAAGGTTTAGGCTGAAAATACACAGGAAGTACCTCTTCTTACGAATCTGCTGGTTTTAAATTAGTTCCCCCAAAAGGTCAGGAAGCAATTGTCAGCTCCTTTCATCTAAGACACAGCTTCATTCACTAGTCAGGAATCTAGCTCTTGAAAAATTCACATTGCTGTGGATTTTCTTTTAATGGTTTCAGAACATACTATAATACATATAACTATCCACATTATCACTTTCAAAGACATACAACAGTCATTAAAACCAAAGGAATACTGGTGAGCATTTTTTTTTTCCTAATTAGAGATTTACCTTTTTCCAATTAAACAGGTCAGTTTAAAAAGCAAATCCAGGTATCTGGTTCTGCTTCAAAATATCTCTGGTAACTTTTAGAGCAACTTTCAAACATCTTATAGAAACCGAAAATTGAGAAAGGAACATTTCAAAAATGTCTGTATTACAAATTAGGGAAGTAAAATTTGAGGGTTCCCCAATTATGTTTCTTCCGTTTCCATATGTAAGGAAATTTGTCACAAATGGGAACAATCAAAACAAAGTTTGGAGCCTCACAGATGTGGGCAAGCTTGGTATGTTGATATGAACTGGTTTTGAAAGTCTGAATCAAGCACAAAAGAGAAATTTGGTCATGACTCAGGAGAAGGAATATATAACAATACCTAGTGGTTATTTTAATGAAAGAATTTAGAACTATTTCAGGAAATAAGGCAAAATTTCAGATTAATACTATATCCAAATCAAAATTAAAAGCAAACATGCCTAAAATGATACCAGGATTGATAGTACCAATATGACAAAACACAAGTTTATTAACACTACTCTTGAGAAAGCTAGCCATTGATTATTTTCAATAAAATGTTAGTTCATCATTCCAAGTGCCTAGAAAGGAAAGTATTAATTTTAGTCCAGAAGCCTGCTGTGAAACTAGGCAGGGGATATTCAATGATAATGTTAAATAACTTTCTCTCTTTGAGATGGGCCTTAACAATTTTAATAAAAATCATTTTTCTCAAACAAATGATTAGTCATGACTATAAAGTATAAGCAGAACACTAACTAATGAATCTGAGGACTCTTCTTTTATGCTGCTTATTGTTTTAGCAATAATTTGTTAAATTTATGCACTGTAAAAATATGATTCTCTATTACAGATCTTTGGGGGTTTAGTGTCTATTAACAACACCTTCATATCTTAACAGAAGAACAAGGTATATAAACTACTCTAAATGTTATATTTTATTTCAGTCTTCTAAAGGAAGTTCCAATCATCACATAATTTCGAGTTATGAACAAAATATTACTTTTTAGAACAGAGTTTTTAGGGTGATTATAGAACTCTAAAATATTGTAAAATTTAAATTTTATTTTAAATCTAATTAATTAATACCAAATATAATAGCTGAGTCTAAAAAATACATCTGGAAACTAATAATGATATATCTTTAAGTCTTACATTACTTAGCACTAAAGGAAATTATTCTTGCAC